CATTCCCCACACTGCATCAGGGCTAGCCCAGACTTCAGGTGGACCTGCCTGAGCAGATCCAGGCTTGCAAAAGTAGCCACTCTCCAGAGGCAAATATTGAATGATCTCTGTAGGAAGAGGAATAGAAAATTGATAGTTCATGCACTAATTGTTCAGTGAGACACTTCAAAGTAGGAAAGACCAGTCCTTTAAAAAAAAAAAGTACTATAGTAGCCAGGATGTGAAAGTGTATGTCCCAGCACTCAACAGAATGAATGAATAAGAAGCATGTAAGTGCATATTATGTGCTCAATTCTGAGCATACAAATATAAAAGAGAGAAATAGTCCCTTAATTCTTAGGGAGCTCACATTCTAATAGAGGGAAGTAAAATAGGAAGAGGATTAGGCTGCAGAGTAGGTAGAGAGATCTGATTGTCCTTTGGGTGAGGGGGCGGGGCGCATGGTGAGGCCTGGTGATCCAGAAGGTGCTGCGGCAGAGTAGATGGCAAAGTCCAGTGAAGAGGTAGAAAGGGGGCTGTGCATAAAACAAAAAGACCACTTTCTAGATCTGATGCTCTCAATTTGGAAACCTGCTGATTCCTCTGTTGAGTAATTCTCTTTACTCCAAGTTTGCTAAAAAGCATTTCTTTTCACACATCCTATTTCCATACCAACAGCCCAGAAAGCTCGTAGGTTGTTAAATGGGAGAATTGAGTTGGCCTAACCAAGAAAAGATTGGGTGGAGGCACAGACTTTGTGACCTTGTCACCTTGTAAGTTTAGGCTTTCCCTAGACTTTAGAACTGGCATACCCTAGAACTAAGTGGCTCTCCCGTATCTTAATCTGCACCTATGTTTGCCACCTTCAAGAGCCAAGAAATCAGAAAAAGAAAGAATATTCCCTCCTTTTTTGTTCCATGCCTTTTGGGATCTAGACCAGTTTCACTGTACATTTTAAGAGTAATTCTTCCATGCTTTCATTCTGATGCCTTGTCATCAGGGAGATATTTCACAGTCACCATCCCATCCTACAGCTTTTACTACTGATCCATGAGTCTGAAATGAAAGGATTACAGCTGAACCCTCAAAGCAGCCCAGGAGAAATGACTAGCTTTCTGCAGAACCCCAAATTCCTCACCAAATGGTTCCAGCTCTACTTAAAAAACCCAGACTAATTTCTCCAGAAGTGCTAGACAAGTCAGTTTTTTAAATGATTTGTTTATGTAATACATTTTTCCCCCTGAAGGTGCCTTCTTTTTTGTTTTTTTTTAAGAATTTTTGTTAATGTTCCCAACCAATAAATCCAAGTTATTCCTGAATCCTCCCATCTTCCAGTTTCTTCTGACTGGTTCTCTACTTGAGAAGGTCATTCTTGGATCCGAAAAGTGTTCTTGCTCAAATGGTTGGTGGCTTTGGCCAGAGTTTATGGGATAAAATAGTCGGCAACAATTTGTTAAACACTTAATATGTGCCAGCCAATCTATATGCACCAGAAATATAAAGAAAGGCAAAAGCGTGGTTGATTTGTGCAGTCATAGAGATCACATTCTAATTGAGAAGACAACATGCAAATAGCTATGCATGTAAGATATATAGATATCTATATCTACAGAGGGAGGGAGAAGATAGAGAGAGAGAAAGAGAGAGAAGATATGGAAGATAATCTCAAAAGGAAAGGCCTGGAAGTCAGGGTGAGGGCAAGGAAGGGTTCCTATAGAAAGTGAGATTTAGGCTGAGTCTTGAAGAAAACCAGGAAAGCTAGGAGTCATAGGTAAAGAGGGACAGCATTCTAGACATGGATAGCCAGTGCAAATGAACGGTCAAGAGATGTATTGTAGTGTATGAGAAGCCACAAGGCCAATGCAGTTGAATTATCTATAATGGATAATTGGTGTGGAGGGAAGTAAAATATAGGAAGACTGGAAAGATATGTAAGGCGTAAGTTGTGAAGGGCATTAAATGCCAAACAAAGGATTTTATAATTGGAGTTTAGTAATCAGCTGAAATTTAATGAATATAGTCAGACCTGTGCTCTGGAACAATTACTTTGGAAGCTGAATAGAGGATGGATTGGAGTAGGGAGAGACTTGAGGCAGGGAGACTCAGGAGGCCCAGGCAAGAGGTGATGAGAGGTAGTTGTGTGAATGGAGACAAGAGGGTATCTGAGCCAGGTTGCAAAGATGAAAAACAAGATTTGGGGGCAGCTAGGTGGCACAGTGGATAGAGCACCGGCCCTGAAGTCAGGAGGACCTGAGTTCAAATCTGGCCTCAGACCAAACACTTGACACTTACTAGCTGTGTGACCCCGGGCAAGTCACTTAACCCCAATTGCCTAAAAGCAAAAAAATTAAATTAAATTAAATTTTAAAAAAAAACAAACAAGATTTGAATTTGAGTTGAGGAGGTGAGGATGACACCAAGGTTTTGAGCCTTGGTGCCTAGGATGTTGGGGTGCCCTTGAGAGCAATAGGAAATTTAAGAAGAGGGGAGAGTTGGGTGGTGACTGGCATAGAATGCCCTTTGGGGGAAAAAAAGCTGAGAACAGTATGAATAGGGAGTCAGAAATAGATATTGTGGAAAATCTCCAAAATCCACAGTACGGAGAAGCTAATGGATGCCATAATAATGTAACAGAATAATCTATGTTATAAAACTCTAATGCTGTATCATTGCAGCACCGTAACTAATAGAGTCAAGAGGTCTGCATTCAAGTTCTAACTTTGTCACTTAATTTCCTGTGTAACCTTGAGCAAGTTATTTAACCTCTCCAAGAGTCAATTATCTTATCTGTAAAAGTTGATACCAGCCCTGCATGCCCGTGTATGGTTGTTATGAGAATTAGATTAGATAGTGTACATGAGGACTTGGAAAATTATAAAAGCACTCTAACACACATAAACAATTGTTAGCTGCAGGGTAAAACTAAATGAGTGCCCTGGGATTTTGTCCATTAGCCATGGGTAGTTCTATGTATCACTCGCTATGCTGGCCTTATATATCTGGAGAATACATGGTGAGTCAGTTTTCTCACCTGTACATTCAGTCAAATTGAATAACTATTATATATCTACTATGTATCTACAAAGGCTTTGTGCTAGGAATTAAGAAACAAAAACAAAATAGGCCCCACCCTCAAGGAGCTTAAATTCCACTGGGCCAGGCTAAGATACAACTGGTACACAAATAAGCACAAGATGATTTTGAGGAGGGGCCAGATCGATAGCAGTGAGACAGGGAAGTGAGCTGTCAGGAGCGACTTCCCAAAGCCTTTGCTGAGCCATATCGATTCCTGAGGATGAAGTGCTTGGGGGGTAGCTTTCAGAACACATGGATGGTGGAAGATGGGCTCTGAGGTAGAGTGTGGGAAGGGGAGTCATGTCAAATAATAAATGGAAAGGTCAGGCAGAGCCAGTTTGCAGTTGGCCTCAAATGCTCAGCTGGGAAGCTTATATTTTATGCTAGTAGAATAGGAAGCCACTGAAGGGTGTTCAGGAGACAAGGCAGGGCTTGTGTGTTGGAAGATTACTTTGCTAGCTTTGTAGAGGATGGATTGGGGAGGGGAGAAGTTGGAATCAGGGAGACCAACTAGGAGATTGCTCCCTAAGTCAGTGAATGGCTCAGATAGAGTGATCGGCCATGAAAGCAGGCATGTCAACCCTGTCAACTCCACATCTCCCACGCTCTTTTGATCACTGATGAATCTTAGTTTAAGAGTTTCTAGATACAATCTTTGGTCACCAGTCTGTGGGTTGTCTGGCCACTTACCAAGGGGTTAAACAGCCATTCACATCGGGGCCAGACAAGTTAAACCTCCTTTAAACAACTATCTCTCTCAAGAGGAAGTACATTTTTGTTTTGTTTTATTTTTAAGTCCTTATCTTTGTTATCCAAAGTAGAACAATCAGTCCCAGGTAAATTCGTTAAGAAAATAATTTTAGACCAAAGAACCTTGATATAATGCCCCTCCTAGAATGGACTCCAAGCTCGTTGCTCAGACATTTATAACACCCACCCTACCTATGAGCCAGACCCTCAGCCAAGAGGCAAAGACTCCAAGAAGGCCTTAGGATCTATGATCCAGCAAGCTTGGTTGCACTGGTCTTCCCAAACTATAGGGAACACTCTTTCAAAAACCATTGCCTGTCTGTAGTGTAGAGAGGTAACACGGTACAGTGGAAAGAACATTAGCTCTAGGATCAGAAGACTTGGGTTAAAATCTTGCCTCTGACATTATATGTGTAACTTTGAGCAAGTCACTTAACACCCTTGGACTTCAGTTTCCTCGTAAGTAAAATAAGGAGATTAGATTAGCTAGCTACAGAATTTCCTTCCAGGTCTAGAATCCTGTAAATGATGGTGTCAAGTTGCTTTTCTTTTTGGAATTCCTGGATCCCTGAATTCCCAAAATGGAAGCTATTGAATATGTGGAGGGGTGTGTGTGTGCGCGCGCGCGCGCAAATTCAATTCCTGCTTCAGACACTTACTTAGTTGTATGACGGTGGACAAGTCGCTTAACCTTGATCAACCTTAGCTTCCTCATCTATAAAAGGTTGTTAGTAATAATATCTGCTCCACAGGGTTGTTGTGAGAATCAATTAAGTTAATGTTTATAAAGCACTTTGTAAAACATAGAACCATAAATGGATGGATGGCTGGATGGATGGCTAGATATTGGCTATTATTATTATGAACACTGGTGTATTGGGTTATATACACCTGTGACTTTTTTCTGTCATTTGGGGAGTGTGTGATCATGTTTTGTGTGTGTGTGTGTGTGTGTAGTTTCATCCCTTTCTTTGTGTTGCCAGAACCTAGCACATAGTAGACACATAAGAAATGCTTGTTGATGGCTTGATTTGAAGGCTTTATGGATGGCCCCATGGTTGTAACTCTTCCCTCAAGAGCAGCGGAAGCCCAAAGCCTTATAATAAAGAGTAACTGGAGTTTTCCTGCCCTCCCCGAGCTTAGCCTTCTTTTGGCAATTACAAGGGTTAGTTTATAAACCCCTCCTCTGCTTCCAGGCTTCTCAACGCCAACAAGATCAACTGTCTGCGGGTAAACACATTCCAAGATCTGCATAACCTCCACCTGCTCTCCCTGTATGACAATAAACTGCAAACCATCAGCAAAGGTCTCTTTGCTCCTCTTCAGTCCATCCAGACACTGTGAGTACATGGGCCCTGGTAGTGTGGGTCTCTGGGAAGAGCTACAAGTGTGTGGGAACCTACAACAGACACTCAGCTGACCATAAGCACCCCAAAACCCAGTCACCAAGCCCACTCAAGACACAGGATTAATATGCACTCTTAGCAGATGAGCATTCATCCAGCCAGCTGTCTCGTCTCCGACACCTCCTGGTTAGTCATTCGCTAGGGAGATGTCTTAACGTTTTCAAGTGAACTTATGAAGAGCTGCAAACAAATCCTGGCCCCCTGTTTGAAGAACCAAGCCCCGGGGTTAGACTTCCTACATGTGTCCCAGCCTGGTTTTCAGCCACATCTTTTAAGTCTAGAGAGGAAGTGTAACATGGTGGATGCTAGATCTGGAGTCGGGAAGACCTGGATTTGCTTCTTGCAGAAGACCTTTAATCCTGCATTTAACCTCTCTAGGCCTTGTATGTAAAATGGGTATAATAATCACACCTACCTTAGAGGGCTCTTATAATAAACACATGAAATCATGTATCCAAAGTCTTTGCAGCACTGTTTGAATGTGAATTTAGCACCGTGTCTTAGCACATAGTAGGTGCTTCATAAATGTTTGTTAACTACTAATTGAATTATGAATTCTATGGAAGCCTCCTGAGATTGTTTTGTGCGATACAGCAACCAGACACAGACCCCAAACAACTAGAGCCTGTCTTGGCAATAGAGAATTCCATGGGTTTGGGGTAGGCTAAGAAATGCGTTTTGACACGGGGGCCATGCAAAGCTGGAGAGTATGTGAGGATGGGTGAGAAGACTGGATGATGAGCTCCTGGAAAGTAACTGCCAGCTCTTCCCACGTTTGCCATTTCTATGTGACAGGCCTCCTAGTGCCCCCTCCGTAAGTCATGTCTGAAAGTAGGCCCCCACCTTCCGATATCTCCGCCCCCTCCCATCTCTGGCAGGGGGCAAGAGTGGTGGGAGCCTCCAGCAGGTGGGGAGAGAGCGATGGGCATGGGTCACAGTTCATTCCTAATTAACCGCCCTGTCTCTGTCTCTGTCTCTGTCTCTCTCTCTCAGACATCTAGCCCAAAACCCATTTGTGTGCGACTGCCACTTGAAGTGGCTGGCTGACTACCTCCAGGATAACCCGATCGAGACGAGCGGGGGCCCGCTGCAGTGGCCCGAGGCGCCTCGCCAACAAGCGGATCAGCCAAATCAAGAGCAAGAAGTTCCGCTGCTCAGGTAATCGGGTTATGCCGGCCAGGGCCACGCTTTTCAATTCAGAAATCAGCAGCCCCGGAGAGGCTGCTAATCCAATTTGCAGGACAGTGTGTGCTGTAATGGATCCTCACGGAGCATCTTTGCAAATTAAATTGGAGAAATTTGGTTAGCCCTCCAGAAAACCAATTACCTTATGGATTTAAAAGAAAACACACACACACACACACACACACACACACACTAAAAGCTGGACTGAGGCGAGGAGTGGGATGGAGGGGGTGGAGAAACTGATGGGGAAGTAAAGGAAAAGGAAAACATAGTCTATAGGCTATCTCAGTCTCATTGGGAACCAGGGAGAGGGTAGCATTTGCATGCATATGTTTTAATGTCCTTGTGGTTTGCTTTTAAAAGGAAAAGTGTGCTCCCCAAAGAGTAGAAATTAAAATCAAATTGTTTGCTATCCCAAGCCAGGCTACAAGTCATACTGGGTAATCTCTGGGGCCTTGCCTTCAATGCAGTTGTTCATTTCCCATTCTGCAGGATTCCCTGCCCCCCCCCCAAGCCTAGGTAGGTGTTAGGTCATGTATCAAGTGTACGGGAAGAGGAAGAAGCTTGCCTCGGAAGCCTGCGGCCAAGCTCTCTAGTGTTTAACTTGCTCTGGAGCGAGCTCAGCTGGTCTTGGAGCACCCCCTGAAGGGACAGCAGCGCACAAGGAAGTCTCTCAGCCCATCGTGGTTGGAAGAAAAATGGCACTTATTGACTGAATAGCTAGACAGGTGTGTGGATAAAAATTACTATCATTTATGTCTTTTTTCTACTGGAAAAATCACCATGATAGATTGTGCTCCCAGTGGTGAGAGATTGATAGCATGAGGCGCTAAGATTGGACGTGGACAACTCTAGCAATCTGTGTCATCAAGAAAAGCTCTCTTCCCCCTCTCCTTCACATCCCCCCAGTCCTCTTTCCCCTCCTCCTTCCTAAGAGTTTCCTCTTGAGATTAGCTTTCTTTGAGTGTTCATGAACCAGTCGCTAGAGGAAAGGACTTCGCTGGTAACCAGAAACCTGCAGACAGCGAGCAGCTTTGTCTTGCTTCAGGAGCATTGTTTTTGTTATCTGTATTAGACCTTTCAGTACTGTGTCCCAAGTAGAAACATAGAGATTTTCTTAACCTAACGTACTAGGTAGGAGAATCTAGAGTATGTTACCCCAGGACTTTGATTTACTATGAGAATTTTGCCTCAGTTTGCTTATACTATGAAGCTCTGGCACCCAGAGCATGAGAATTTGTGACCAACATTCTGGCCACATTAATTACAACCTCTCTCATTCTGAAGCCAATCTCACAAGCCCCTTCCTGCCAACCCTACCCCCTGGGCTCTTTCCTAAGCCTATCAGAGTCCCAGGGTGAAAAACCTTCTCCTCTAAGCCCCTGGCTGCTACCTCAGACAAGGGGGCTTAAAGAGGTGATGGCTGACACCAGCATCCTTCCACCTACTCACACCTCCTTTCTATCAAGCCTGGAATGATCTAATTAAGTGTTCTAATCTAAATTGCTCTTGGACACTCCAACCCGGAGGTTAAGATTCAAATATGTGGGGAGAAGATGAGGAGAAGGATAGGATGCCATCTGCCAGCTGTAATCTCTCTATCACTGATGGGACTGACACTAGCTTGGCCTGGGATGGAGAGTATATAGACGTGTTAGTGGGAACCTGGAGTCAATTAAGTAGCAGCCTCACCGAAATAAGAGAAGGGAGAGACCAATTTAGGCAGTACCAAGAAAGTCCACTACCCTGAAATACAGGACAAATAGGAGCCAACGAGAATATGTGATTTTACTGACTCTCAGGCCGGATCCTCAGGTCTTGGAATTCGCTATAGGAAGCAGTGCTGCTGCTAAGTCGTTTCAGTCCTGTCCAGTGCTTCGTGACCCTGTCTGGGGTTTTCTTGGCAAATATACTAGAGCAGTTTGCTATTTCCTTCTCCAGCTCATTTTATAGATGAGGAAACTGTGAAACAGGATTGAGTGACTTGCCCAGGTCACACAGCTAGTAAATGTTTCAGGACAGATTTGAACTCAGGTTTTCCTGACTCCAGGCTGGGTGTTCTATAGGAAGTAACCTCAATTTTGAGATGAGTCTCACTCCTATAAGAGAGTTTTTGCCTTTGTTCTTGTCACCCCAAAAGGCGGTTGCTATAATGCAACACACACACACGCACACACACACACACACACACAAGACTTCAAGGCAAGTCAGAAAGAGTTGGACATGACTGAAAAAATAACTGAACAGATAAGCTGGAAAGCGTCCAGAGAAGAGGGTAAATGGGATGACAAAGGGCCTTGAGTCCATATCATATGAGGATCATTTAAAAAGACTTGGGAAGTTTAATCGTGGAGAAGAGAAGACTCGGGGAGGATGTTATCTTCAAGGAAGGCCTCCAAGCAGAAGCTAAGTGATCATATGCCAGTATGTTAGAGTGCGGATTCCTTTTGGGTTGGTGTTGAGCAAGATGATCAGTGAGGTCCTTCCAACTCTCAAAGTCTGTGCTTCTTTCCTATGTAAGAAAAATCAGGTGCCACCAATTCCCAATTATTTGGGGAGTGAGGGTGGAGCCCCGGGAAATCAAGTCTGAGAAATAAATCCCAGTCTCCCTTTCAGTTCCCTCCTCAGACTCACTTTCACATTATAATTGCTAGAAAGGAAACAGAACAGACTGGCTCTGGCCAATCAGATCAAAATTGTACCTTCTTCTGTCTGCCTCTCCTTTCTGGTAGAGGTGGTAATGAGCAGTGGGGGAGACTGAGGGAGCAAGAGAAGGGGGAAATGGAGGAGACTGTCCATACCTAGCTCCTGATTAATAAAAAGTTTGTGTTGCAGGAGACTAGAAGGCTGAATATTCCTCCCAAAGGAAACACCCCCAAATCGAGCTAGGAGTTTGGGGTTCTGAGTAGATACAGAGAGACTCTGCAGGGCTAGGGACCTATATGTAAGATGAAGATAAGGCTGCCTAAAAACCTAACCAGCCTCCCCAGCTGATTGATGAATGTTTATTGGGCTTTTAATGAACAAAACTTTACATCTCCCCTTGAAAAAGCCCTCTGGAAATATGCAATTTGCACATTGCAAATGTTGTAGCAGATGAGAAGAGAGAAATAGAGGAAAAGAGGGACACCTTGACAGCAAAAGGATAAGAGAAAGTGTCCTCAGATGACTTCACTGCCCCTGAAATCAAGGCAATCCTAAATTAGAGAGCAGAAGATACTGGGCAACACTGTTTTGATGGTATAGGAGGCTCTGTGTCTGAAACTGCCTGGTTTCTAAGAGACACTAGGAGAAATAGAAGGGCGAGTGACAGATATTAAGTTTGGCAGATAATAACTCTTCATTTTACTTTACCCTAAAAGCTCCCCTATTGAAAAGATGGGTGATTTAATTAAAACCCAATTAGAGTTCTGTTTCTGAAACTTGGAAAGCTGTTCTTTGACTGGGCCACATCTGGTTTCCTAGCTGTCTCATCTCTGCTCCTCCATATCAGCAGCATCCGGTGCCTGGGGCCGATGTCAGGTTAGAGGTGAATGCTGGGGGCTTGTGTAATCTGGTCATCCGATTAAGCCCTTCTGAAAAGCAATGGTCTGGCTGGCTGAGAACCTAAAAGCTATTCCCAGAATAATGTATGTTGCATTTAAAAACTGTCTGCAGCTTATTATTTTTCCTCTGTGGTATAGGCATGTATATGAAACAATATTAGTTTTGTGGGGGGAAATGTGGTGATACCTTCGATTTGCCCAGTTTGGAGGCTGTCTGATTGTTGGATAAATCAAATGGTAAGATGATTTCAGTGGAAGCACAATATGTTAGATCAGGAAAGGAAGGGGCCACAGAGATCATGTAGTCCTGTCCCCCTCATTTTTCAGAAGTAGGAACTAAGGCTCAAGGAGTGGATGTGACTTGCCCAAGGCCACGCAGTAAGATTCAAAGTTAGGATTTGAACCCAGGCCTTCTAACTCCTTGATTGGTGTTTTCTCCACTATAATTCACTACTCCTTATTTCTTTTTCTTCCTGGAGGAGAAGCAAAAGAAGGAGTAAGATGAGGCCATAAGGTTTGATCATGGGAAGAGAAGGATTTTTCCCTGGTCCTGGTGTTGCTGTTCTTCTCTCTCTTCAGATGCTGAATTTAGAGTCATATGACTTCATTTGGAATTTCAAAGCTGTCTCTGAGACTTTGGACAAATCCCTCAACCTCCCTCAGTTTCCTTATCTGTAAAATTAGGAGATTGGAGGAAATAGCCTCTGAAGTCCCCATTCAGCTCCAGATCTTTGACCCCGTGAGAATCATAGGCCAAGATAAAGCCAAGCGTGAGGAAGGCTTGACTCTAGAGCTCCACGGTACTGAGTCTGGACTTCCTAAAGGCCTGATTTTTCTCCTCTGTAAGAGCTCCACAGAGCTGGGGGTGCTTCTCCAATGATAGCCCCAATCTGCCAGGACTTAAGCCAGAGCCTTTCTGGGGAGTGCTAGGTAGTCTTAGTCAGAACCTATCTCCACAGAGAAGGTCAATTTCATTTATAAAAATTTCAGACCTAATGACAGAGTCAAGTGGAGAGTATCTCCTAAGAAGAATAACCCCGTGGGGATAGGCCTTGAATGAGTAAACCCTTCGTGGCTCCTTCATCACCTCTGGATAATGATTTTAATAGTGACTTCCCAGTCCCTGGAACAACACACACACATACGTATATGTGTATATGTATATATGTGTGTGTATGTATACATATACATGTATGTTATATTTTTTGGTGCTGATTTAAGCATCAAAATTAAGAATAAATGGAAAAATCTAAAAAGAGGTATATTCATCTAAATTTTTAGAAAAAGATAACCAGGTTCAGCCTACATATATATTTAACAAAAACCACACAACATAGTCCCAGTGCCAGATTTTAGAATCTAAGAATCTGGCTCCAAATCCTAACTCTATTACTTTTTAACCTTGGGCAAGTCTCTCCCTCCTAGAAC